GTGCATTTTATATCAGGGAATCATGAATTTCTCTGAAGAAGTGATATGAGCTCTGAGGTGTGGAGAATGAGGAGACAAGGTCAGGAGAGTAGGGAGATGGAGTATTCCCAGATTCTGCAGTGGCCTCTGCTGTGGCCTCTGCTGCAGTAGTGTCCTACTGGCCAGTGAGCTCTGTGGGGGGACCCAGGCAGAACCATCCTTCTATCCAGCCTGCCCCAGCCACAGAAGGCAAGGGGACCACAGGGGGAAAACTCTGCTCTGAGAAATAGTGCTGGTAGCTGAGCTGGGCCTGGTGCAAAAGCAGCAACCAAGGTATTTTTTAAAACGTTTTATCTTGAAATAATTATAATCTATAATAATGATAGCTTCACAGGAAGTTGGAAAGAGAGGTTCCATGTATCTTACCCTAGTTGTTAAGAGGTTATGTCTTATACATTGATACAACGTTCCTCTCTAGTTCTTTGTCCTTTATCACGTTAGATTCAGGTAAACATCCTCCAATCAAGCTAGAACCCTCCCTCCCTCAGGCTGCTCTTTATAGTCACACTTCATTCCCCTCACTATTCCTCAACCCTGAAAAACTCTAATCCGTTCTCCATATCTACAGTTTGTCATTTGGAAAACATTATATAAATGTAATCATACTATTTGCATTTTCTGTGATTATTGATATGTTAGGGCTTAAATCTGCCATTTTATTTTTTGTTTTCTTTGTTCCCTTTTTCCCTTTCTGTTTCTTTTTCTGCCTTCCCGTGGGTTACTTGAACACATTTTAAAGCTCCACTTTTGTTTATCTACAGTGTTTTGAGTGTATTTGGTTGCACAGATTTTTTTTTTTATAGTTGCTCCAAGGATTATAGTTTATACATGTACTTATTACAATCTACTGTTTTTAACAGTTTGAGTGACATGTAGAAATCTTATCTCTTCACATAACTTTACCCTCCCCCTTTATAATATGATTATGTGAGATGTTCCCTCTAACTATACTAAAAGGCATCAGGCAGTAGTAGAATTTTTGCTTCAACCATCCAGTACAACTTTGAAAGCTTCAGAGAAGTCCATTGTTCTTTCTTCCTTCTCAGCATTCTAACATCCCTTCTTTTACCATTTTCTTTCTGTTTAGAGAACTTCCGTTATCCATTCTGTCAGGGGAGTTCTACTGGTGACAAATACTCTTACTTTTCCTTCAGAATGTCTTGAATTCTCCCATTCCTGAATGGTATTTTCATGGTTGGCAGTTCTTTTTTTTCAGCGTTTAATAATGTCATTGCACTCCCTTCTGGCCTGCATGGTTTCTGATGAGACTAGCACATTATTACAACTGTTTTCCCTCGCATTAAAAAAGTCGTTTATCTGTGGCTGATTTCAAGGTGTTTTTGTCTTTGGTTTTTGGACATTTGATGATGATGTGTCATGGCACAAATTCCTTTGGGTTTATACCATTCTGGGTTCATTAGGCTCCTTGGATCTGTAGGTTTATGTCTTTTGCCAAATTTAAGAAATTTTCAGCTGTTATTTCTTTGATTATTTCAGTCCTATCCTCTTAACTCCTTTTCTTCTGAGACTCCTTGGCACAAATGTAAGATCTTCTGTTATATCTCACAGGCTCCTGAGGCTCTTCACACCACCACCTCCCCTGCTGCTTCCCCCACCTCACCTCCCCGCAGTCTATTTTTCAGATTGGGTAATTTCTATTGTTCTGTCTTCAAGTTCACTGTTCCTTTCTTCTTTTCCCTCTGTTCTGTTGTGGAGCCATCTATTGAGTGTATTCTGATTTTTAGTGTTTTTTAAAATTCTAAAATATCCATTTGGTTCTTCTTTATACGTTGATTTCCTTGCTGAAAATTTCTATATTATTATTTGTTTAAAGCACATTCATAATCGCTCATCAGAGCATTTTTATTATGGCTACTCTAAAATCCTTGCCAGATAATTCCAACATATGTGTCACCTTGGTGTTGGTATCTTTTGACTGTGTATTCACAAACAACCTGAGCTTTCCCTGGTGCTTGCTATGATGAGTGACTTTTGATTGGGTCCTACACATCTGGGGTACTGTGTGCTGAGACCCTGGGTTGCATCTCACTCTTTGGTTTCACACCTCACCTCGTCTGACCCTGCATAGGTAGGCAAAGGGGATGCTGTCTCATTACTTTTGGGTAGGGGGCAGTTCCAGCTTCCCCTCTTAGCCCAAGGATTTATAGCACAATGAGAAAACATGGGCTGCTTTCCTGATCCTTGGGGGTCTGATTCTTGGGGCTGCAGGGTACAAGGGCAGAGGGTGGCTTTTCCACAGAACACGGCCCTGGAGAGAGCACCCATCCTTAGGAACATCATCTGCAACCTGACTGTGAGCCCCAGGATGGCAAGAACTCACTCTGGGCATCCTGGGCATGGTGTGTGCTGTGAATGCTCAACCAAGCCAGAGATTACAAACTGGAGACTTGCTGGCTGGGTTTTTCTTCCTGGTGCATTTTGTTCACTCAATACTCAAGAATATGTCCATGCTTTCCACAGTTGCCCTCACCACCTGCTTCTGTCTTACTCTTTACATTCATCACCTACTTGGCCCTTGAAGTCATCTGAGTTTGCCGCCCCAGGGCAAGGTGAAGCTGAGCCCCTGCAGTATTCTTGGTGAATATCTGTGGAGGTGGATGGGAAGCTCTTTTACTGTGTCTTTTATGCAATGTAGTGCTGACAGTAACCTGGTTGCATGCCCAAGGCTGGGGGAGCACTAGTGGCAGACCTGAGCCCAGACTGGTCACAGCTGGCACCGAGAGGGACAGGAAGCCTGAGGAGGGCTCATGGGTGGGAGGAGCTATAGTCAGGAGGCTTTTGGGAGGAGGGGGGTGGGAGCATGAGCTTTGAAAGATGGAAGGTAGAGGTGGGGGTCCTGGACAAGGGCACAGCATGGGGAAAGGCCTGAAGTGCAAAGGCATCTTTGGAGCAAGAATCTCAGCCTGACAAGAATGCTGGGCACACTGGTGGAGCAACATTTAGGTAGGTGGAGGCCTATTGGTACCATGAGGTCCTGAATACTTTGCCTACTCTGCATCTAGGCCTGCTTGTTTTGATAATTGGTTTGATTTTCTGTGGGAGAACCACTCTCCAATGCCACCTCCCGGCTCTGGAGAGCTCACTGATCTTAGCCCACCAACTGTCAGATTCTATCCTCTGGCCAGAGTAACTGGTTTGAGGGGCCAGGGCATAGAACATGATCCAGCCCACTTCATGAGGCTCCATTCTGGGAATTTCCCTGGACCTATTGGGAAAGAAGCACCTGGAGCTGCCAAAGCCCCCATACACAGAAGCCTATGTGGCGGGAACCAAGACAGTGGCCAGCATAGCCCACGATGCCCATGCTGTGCCCGAGACCCAGCCATACTCACCTGCTGCATACTTGAGCCAGTATAGGCTCCTTGAAGCTTAAGCCCAGTTGAGTTTCTGTCTCCTGCAACCAACAGTGCCTGACTGGTGAGGACAGGGGTGGCAGGAAAGTGGGCTGGGCAGGAGGAGGACATGGTGGCCCAGCAGCCTTCTCTTCAGGGTGCTTACACCTAGGCTGAGCCCCTGTCCTCTTGTTTTAGAGCTACAGGCCAAAGAATTGGAGTGTGGGGATGGCTCTAGTCCCTGAACAGGGCCCCCCATCTCCTTTGCACCCAGCGGCCAGAATGGGCTCCTAGAATTCCGCAGTGACTGCGACTTGCCCCAGTGTCCACAGTAGCAGCCCGTAGGCTGAGGCTGACAGCATTGACCCCACAGCAGGATGTGAAGAAGAGACAAGATGACCCGTGGCACTGCACACTCAGGGCTGGCCCAGGGCAAGCACCCAGCAAACACTGAAGAACCCCCAGGAGCACCTGTTCTGTGCCTGCCCCCAGCAAGTATACATATGTGTGCACATTTGCACGTGTATGTGTGCTCATGTGTGCACGTACCGTGGGTGCAGGTGTGCAGGCATTCCACATGTTGAAGGAACCTCCCTACTCAGGGAGGGTGTCCACCCTTTCTCCTTTCTCAGATCCCTCTGACCATAGTGTGGAGAGCAGCGTGGGGCAGGAGGTGACAGGAATGGGGGAGGAGAGAAATGATTCTGACATGGGGGCAAGGGACAGGCAGGAGTCAGGGTGACACTAGATTTGTGCCCAGTGGCCAGGTATCAGTGGCCATCCCCTAGGGGGTTTGGGTACCCAAGACCTCTCTGTACCCCCTCCCCTGGCTTCCCCTTCACACATCAGCAGTGGGGGCAGCGGAGGGGGCCCACCATGGGGATGGAAGAAGGTACCCTTGAGTCTACTTTTGGGCAAAGCTCTGAGTCACCCCTGGAGCTGCTCCTGTGGCAGGAATACTGGACAGTACTGAAAGAACCTCTTCTCAACCCCTGAGAGGAGCTGTTTCTAGAAACTGTCCATGCTGTTCAACAAATCCCATAACCTTCTGAGCTGCTCAGCAAACAGAAGCAAAACTGCAGAGGAAACACAGACAGGAAGTGCCCAAGCTATCCTGCTTACTCATTTATCCTCCGTGATGTGCAGTGAGGAGCACCAGGGCCATAGGCCCTGGTGTGAATCCAGCTGAGCCCGCGACCTCTTCGTTGGAACTTGGGGCGGGCTCCTTAGAGGGCAGTGTCAGCACACACGCATATGCAGCTCCCAGCTAAACTCAAGACAGGTGCCCTGGGGCCAGATGGAGCTCCAGAGCACAGGGAACACTGCACTGGGCTCATGAGAGCAACAGTTACTTCCCATTTGCTCTTCAACAAACTGCCTGTTGTGGTCTCCTCCTCATGTCCCTTCTGGATTGCTGTCTTTCCTTACTGATTCTTGGGAGTTCCTTCTGTATCCTGGGTACACATTTTTTGTCAAACATATGTGCATTGCAAATACCTTTTCCTACCCGGGCTCGTTGGCCGCTTCCTTTTTTCCTAGCTTTTTGTGAACTCTGTAATTTTAATGAATAAAAATAAACAGTTTTAGAGTAGTCAAATTGATCCATATTTTCCTTTATTTACTTATTTTTGACATTTCATCGAAGAAATCTTCTCTAGTTCACTGTCGCAAAGGTAATCTGCTCTGTTGTCTTCTAAAAATCTTGCGGTTTTCTTCATGGTGCTTGGGTCTATGGCCTTCCTGAAATTGGTGGTCATGTGTGATGCTCATTCAAGCATTATATAACCAGATTCCAACTTGAAAAGACCTTGCCACCACGTTTGGAGAGTGGACAGCGGTGACATAAGCAGGAGCAGGGGATGCAGTGGGAATGGAGGGAGACACTGTAATCTGGTATAAGTTTCGGGGATACCGGGGCCCTGAAGGAGGGAAGGGTATCCAAGGGGACACTGGGATTCCTGGTGGGACAACCATAGGCTGTGAGGGTATGAGCTTGACTGCCAACCAGAGCCCAGCTGCCTTCCTGAGACACCCAGGGAGACAATGGAGATGAGGAGCTAGACCTCAAAGAAGCAGCTCTGGCTCTTGGGGACTGTTGAGCACACAGTGAGAAGGGTCTTAAGCAGTTCCTGACTCAGTGGCCCCACAGAGGATAGGTTGGCAAGGAGCAGGCAGAAAGGTGGCACAGCTCTGGTGCCAACACACGGAGCATGGATGGACATTTTCTCAGGCTCACTATAGTGCTCACACTCACACCTCCTCATCACCTCGGTGAGGGGTCTCCGGCTCCATCTCACAGATGAGGAAAATGGAGCTCAGAAACAGACGGGACTTGATACACGTTAACCAGCCATGCCAGGATCCGAACCCAGGTGTGTGGCTCAGATGTCTATGAGAGAGGAAGGTGCTTGGGTTTGGTTTGCTGATGCATTTGTGTGCAGTGTAGTAGAGTGGCTGAGTTGAGATCACAGACTATGGAGCTAGATTGCCAGGGGTAGCCCCCTAGCTCTGCCACCTACCAGCTAGGGAACTTGGGGAAGTCACTTCACTTCTGTAAAATGTAGCAGAGCCCTACGTAGAGTCAGTGCTAGAGTAGTGCTTATTCAATAAAACAGTAAATAGGACTTTTGAAAAAGATGTTCACCCTTACTTAGGCACATGCAAATTAAAGCAACAATGAAAAACCAGTGCATATCACCAGATAGGCAAAAACTCCAGAGCCACAGTACCAAGTATAGGTGAGGATGGGGGCTGCAGGGACCCTTCCAAACCACTGCTGAGACTGCAAACCCGGCTGTCACTTGGGAAAACTTGGGTTATCCACCAAAGCTAAACACACACTTACCTTGTGACTCAGCAGTCCACCCCCAGGGCCGCCAGGAGCCTACACGAGATGTCTATCATAGCTTGCTGTACAGGGTCCCAAAACTGGGATGCTGTCCATCAGCAGGATAAGGGGTGCCCAGCACCACCTGCGAGGACAGGGGCAGAACAGAGTGAATAAACTGCCCATCAGCAACCCTGTCGGGCTGGACCTTCACAGCGCCGAGATTGCCTGTGATGCCCACGTCAAGCACAGCAAAACTGCAGCACGTCATGCTGAAATAGCAAAGGAAACCAAGAGGATTAACCCAGAAACTAGGATAGGGGCCACACGAGGAAAAGGGAGCGGGGAGAGGTGGGAGGGACCCTTTCGCCAGTCTAAGTTCCTTACCCTGGACTGTAGCTATTTCTTCTTCTGTAGGGATGACAGCCTGGTTCTCGCACAGCAAGAGCTCCTCAGTGCTCTGCTGCTCTCCCGCACTGAGCTCGCCCTCGCGTCACGAGGCTCTGGTCCTTTTGTTAGACGCGCTCTTGCACCTCGCCTCACCTTCCCTGGGGCCTTCCGTGGGGAGGCCTCCCCACACTCCCACCTGTGGGCGGCTGTCAGAACGCGCTGGCCTCTGCTTGAGCACCGTCACGGGTGACTGCTGTCTGCACTCCTACTGGGCGGTGGGGCCCGGTGGCCTCCGCGGGTAGAAGCAGCCCCTGCTCCCCACACTCTCCGGCCTCGGTCCCGGACAGCCTGGGTTCGCATTCCTCCACACCCCCACCTCGGAACCCTGGGAAGGAACTTATCTCCTAGGGCGCATCCCCATCAGTGAATGCGCAGCTCGGGGGCGGGGTGTGTGTGGAGTGAGAGGTATCGTGTGTCCCTGCAGGCGCCGTTTTGCCTACTGGCGAGGTTACCCATCTCACCTAACAGATGTGGTCGGAGAGGCCTAGAGCCATGGGACCCACAGCCTCGCATGAATGGAGGTTGTACTCTTAGCCTGGGCACACGGGGGCTAGGCCCTGCCTTTGGGGACGCCCTGGAGGGAACCCCTCGCCCAGCCCTTTAAGGTGGGCAGCTGCATCGCCCTTTAAAGGAGCGCGGTGGGCCCGGGCGGGCTCGCAGCGCGGGGCAGCGCGCCC